TGCCACGTGGCAGACTGCTTATGTAAGCAGATGTGGTACAAACCAGCGACCAGAAGTGGCCGTCCAACAACGAGAAACATAACGGATGGCCGAGTTGGTTAAGGCGAGTGACTTAAGATCACTTCTCGTAATGAGGCACGGGTTCGAGCCCCGTTCCGTTCAGCATGATTTTGACACGAACACTACATCCAAATATGTTTTAGTGGCTACTCTTTTCAACACGACAACGAGTTCTCGAAAGGCGACTCCTTGCTGTGAGCGCACGATGGCAGCACCGAGCTCCCGGAGTAATCGCGGGTGCGCCCTGCGGCACGGCGTCGCGGCCGTGCGTCTAGACCCACAGGACGGCCCACGTCCTGACGGCACAGAGGGGTGACCGCCACGTAGCTCAGCCGCTTTATCGTCGTATTTCCATCATGGCAACGTGGCTTGGCAAAGAACCGTTATCTTATTGCTGAGGTGATATTGAGAGAAGGTCGATAGTCAAGGTTTAGGAGGTCGCCCGTGGCGAGCATGCATCACTGCGTCACATACTTACGGGAGCGACGCCGGGTCGCTACGTAAAAGCGGCCCTGCACGAGTGCGATCAAAAGCAAAAGTGCCGTGCCGAAGACAGCGCAGGCGACCATGGCGACAAGCATACTCTTCTGCTTGAGCATATGTTTGGTCTCCGTTTTCGCAGTGGACTTGACGACTGTCCCAAAATCCTCTTCGATAGCGGTAGTGACTGACGGGGGCACCCAGGGTTTTACAAAAGTCCACCTTTCATTCGCTTGTTCAAGGATGGCTTTGCCCTCAACAAAGTTTTCGAGTTTCGCCCCCCACAGGCCTTTACTTACCGCGACTTGAGCCAGCTCGGCGTTGGCGGCCTCCTTCCAGGAAATGACCTGCATCCCGGACTCATATTGTCTCCACAACCAGTGAAGGGATTTCAGCTCCAGCTTCAACGTCTCTAGACGCGATTTCAGAGTGTCGCAGAGTGCAGCAAAGTTCGTTCCGAGGCCAGTTGGGGACGATGTGGAGTACTTGATCAATGCTGCCAGATCCCAGTGCAAGATGCTAGCTTCAGTATTAGCGATGAATGCACGTACGTCACTATGCTCACCGAACCATGCGACAAGCCTACTTTCCTCTGGGCTCAGCAAGCCAGACGGCCCTGTAGATAGCTTTTTTGCAAGCGCTATCAGATGATCGATGGTGACATCCTGGCCAAGCTCCGTTCTGACGACGTCGACCAGGGGCAACTCCTTGAGCACACCTCCCATCTGAGGAAGTAACTGATCCCACAAGCCTGCTTTGCTTGTGTCTGCGGCCGTTATATGGCTTGGAAGCGAGGGAAGTTTGTCGATGCGAGAAAGCAAGTGGTCGATATCAGCATCGAGAGTCAGGATTGTAGCATAGCCCTTTGAAGCGTGCGAGCGCAGATCATCCAAATATTTTTTGACCGCATCCTTGTTGGTCCCTAATAAGTACGTCATGATATGCTGCTTAAAGCCTTCTGGCTTCTGGGGAAATTTTTCCAGGTACTGAGTCAACAACGATTGTTCGGCCGAATATTGATCGTCCAGATACAAATACGTGGCCCACTTCGATCGGTCAGTCAAGCCCTCAATATAATCGAACTCGCTTCGGAGGTCTGTCGGCATTTTGTCGAATAAGTCGTCGACGACTTTTGTCACATCCGTGACGCCCACTTCTTGGTCAAGAAGCCATGCACGCAGTCTCGGACTGGGTTCCATTACAGGTTTTCGCCAATCGAAGGGCGGATTGACTAATTTCCTAGAAGCGACTATCGCCTTTTCCTTGTGCGCCTCTCTGGCCTTTTGCCGGCTCACGGCTGAATCGGCCGCATCGCGACGCTGGAGGCGCGTGTGGCCCTCGGATGGGGACAACGCGGCGTGCTCGACGACCATCTCCGCATAATCCTTGGTTGTGAGAGGCATTTGGGAAGATAGCCCATCCAGCATCGCACCAGCTATGGCCAAGTGCACCTGTTGCATCAGAGAGAGGTGGGTGGCGGCGGCAGACGGCTCCTTGCTTGCTGAACGGCGTATACTTGGCACTGCCTGAATCACCGAGTCATCGTGGAAGGCGGGATGGTGCCGGAGGGCGGCGGCGAAATATTGCGACGCTGCATGACTCAGACCAACCGCGACCTGCTGGCCCCACGCATGGCCCAGATCCGCATCCATCATGGCCACCGGACTCACCCCGGCCGCCGCGGCGTTTTCTGTAATGGCGCCCAAGGCAAGGCCTAGATGTTGGGAGGCGCGGCGGTCGACCGCCTGGTAGAATGCGTCGGCCTGTTGCGGATTCCAGTACGGCTCGCCGGTGCGCGCGTTGACTTCGGTTTGGAGATGCTGGACGGCCTTCTGCACCGACGCCGACGACCGCATGTATCGGGCCTGTTGATCGTGAACGGCGCGGTAGTGATGGGAATCCTTTAGACCGGCGAGGGGATCGCCGCCAAGGGACTCGCCGTAGGCCATGGTGTTCTGATCGAGACTGGCCCCGAGAACGGCCAGGGCCGCCACAAACGCCCCATGGCGCCACAGCGCGAATGGCATGGGGGCTGCGAGAGCGTAGAGGTAGAGATGGGGACTCGCAAGGGGAGGGAGCCCAAAGAGAAGCGCGAGTGCTCGAGCAAGTAAGCAGATCGGCGTAGGATGGCGAGAGGAAGAGTGGAGAGCGAGAGTTTGGCACACACGATACCGTTAAAACGGTATGCCCCTCCGCGGCACCCATTAATCATGAGGAGGACCATCGCCCCAAACCCTAAAACCCCAAATGAGCTATTCATATGTCAGTTACAGGGCCAATCGGAGTTCTCAGCCAAGCCCTTTAGCGACCCCGCCACGCAAGAAACCCCGCCACGGGAGCTTAACCCCCTCCGGATAAGATACACGACTATTTGCCAGAGGCAACTAGCTGGCCACGCTGCTCTCCGCAGCACCGGGGGCTTGCTGCTGGGAAGACCCTCATGGCAACGCATGCCCATGCCCATGCGTAGCACGGGTCCAGGCCACAGCTTCCTCTGCCTCTGACCATGTCCCGCCGAGTAGCAGAGATTAGCGGTTTTGGAAGGGGGCCGCAGGTGTGCCGAGCGAGCCGTAGGCGTAGTCGTCGTTGTCCGCATATAAGTTCGGACGGCTGATCCATAACGACTGGGACGACGACCACGCCATGAAATAGAAGTATCTCAAAGGCGTTTCCGTCCCATCCCGGTCAACGAGTTCCGGACGGCCCATGTGCTTGCCGAGACGAATCGGATCCTGACAAGGGAGCAAATCCGGGACACGACGGTCGTGCCGACGTCTCGTTCGTCCCGGGCGGGCCGACTGCGCTGACGCCGGTCAACCCGGTCCGCAGGACTCGGGTGTATGCCCATATGAGTGTAGTCCTGAAACCCGGTCAACGCCGGCGCCAGGGGATCGTGATCAGAGGTTTGCTGTTGTATGAAGCTGACAACGGCAAGTTTGTGAACCGCGATCTCTAGCCGCGTTGAACATCCGACGCTGCCAGGCCTTACCCGCCAGACCGATAGCGCGGTGCCACAATCCCGGGCAAGCGCCGCTGTGGCCCAAGATCGTCAAGCTCATCTGACACTGGACCAAACTGCGTACTGCCTCGATAGGAGAGATACTTCAGAATTGTTTCGGCGAGATAATACTATGTATCCGACCGTGAATAATATAAATATTAAGGTAATAGTCGAGCGCGCGGCGCGCGGCGCGGGCGCGCGTCTTTGCAGGAAGGCAGGGGCCCGACCGGCGAGACCGGCGAGGGCAGGGACGGCGCTGCCCGAAGGCTTCGCGAGGATGGCTGGTGCCGGCGACCTGGCGCGCAAGGGGGATGACGCGGTCAAGTGCCATCAAGGCGTGGGCCGCCTTGTGGGTCTACATGCACGGCCGCAATGCCGCAGGGCCCACCCGCGATCCCCCCGGCAGTCCGGTGCTGCCATCGTGCGCTCATAGCGAGGAGCCGCCGTGCTACGCGCACCACATGCCCTCTGCTCGAGCACCGCTATCGCTTCCCCACATCGCGTTTTCATACCGCTTCTCCACATCGCATCCTCTACATCGCATCCTATCTATCTCGCTGCCTTCACCTTTTTTGCGTGTTAATTTTTCTTGGTGACCACCCTGCTGCTGATCGCGCTCTCGCCCCCTCTCTTCGACACACCATGCTGGCTGCCGTTCGTCTGACTCGTGTCGCGCTCGCGCGCACTCCGGCCACGGGGTTCCCGCGCCGCGGGCTGGCCGGCTACACGGCCACGGCGACATCGACGGGTAGGTCGACCTGCTCCCCGTGCGTAGGCGCGAACGCATGATGCGTCATGGAAATCGGACCTCACCCCCTTTTTTCCCCTAGTGTTGGTTAATTGTTCTTACGTGGATCCACGGGTTGCTTGCCTGGCGCGGTGGTTTCCGTCGGCGATGCGGTGCGATGGCATTGGTCGCATCGACCGCTCGACCAACTAATCGACGGTGAAACACGTCTTTTTTTCCCTCTTTTTTCTTCTCACGATGCAGGCGGCCGCAGCGGCCACGTGGCGTCGTCGGAAGGCTTCAAGGCGGACATGCGCATGCCCAAGGCGCTCGGCGGTCCGGGCAACGCGGACGGGTCCGTGAACCCTGAGATCCTGTTTGCGTCCGGGTACGCGGCGTGCTTTATCGGCGCGCTGGGCGTGGCGGCCAAGAACCTGAAGCTGAAGCTGCCGAAGGACACGCAGGTCACGGCGCACGTGACGCTCGGGACGCCGGACCTCAAGCTCAGCGCGGTCCTGGAGGGCCGCTTTCCGGGCCTGTCCCGTGAGGAGGGCGAGCAGTTGATGGCCAAGGGCCATGAGATCTGTCCCTACAGCAACGCGACGCGCAACAACTGCCCTGTGGAGCTGAAGGTCGTTTAAGGAACCGGCCGCCTCACTTGGATCATCGCCATTTCTTTCCGCATACTCTCTCTTCCTGTCGGGCGTCGCAGCGCGTTCTATCAATACCACACCGTTCAAGACCTGGCGCCGCCGTGCCCGCGCGACTTCCGCGACGGAGATGGCCTGCGCGGGCTAGCGGAAGCGAGGATGCAGGTCAGGGGGAAGGAGGGGTCCAGGGCGCTGGGACACTCGCGGGGCTTGCGCGGGTGGGCGGCCACGTCATGGTGGCGAC